AATGTCTCTTTGTATGAACATCATGTATCTGCTGTACTATGAGCTTTAACATTTTGCTATCTTCAAGCAGAATCTATATCAAGCAGGAGCACTGCAACATTATCCAACTTAATTAGTTTTAAATCATTGTTAGACAACATGATTTCAGTTCAAAAATGTGCAGCTCATATTACCCTGCATGTTCAACTGTTTTATGATGCAAGACCGCGCCTTGCCATATTTTTTCTCAGATCTGGCAACTGTGATGTGGGTAACTTATTGAGCAAGTTGGCCGTGGAAAATGTCAAATTAGCCACAATTATATAGCTGGTGAATATATCAGTTGCTCAAATGTTATTTGTGGGAAATTATAGTTACACTCTGATTCGGATATCGCAGTTTCCCAACCACTATATCTAATAGGTCTTAAGCATATATATTTGCTGTAGGCTTTATAAATGCTCAAACCCCTCAAATTTAACAAAGTTGTAGAGAACAAATTGCTAATGTTGAGACAACCAGAGAGAAGAAAACTCATGATTGAGGAGCATGACTTCTGTTTTTTATGGTTGAACCAGAAAGACCTTCAAAATTGCTATAAAAAATAGTGAGACAACGTCTCCAAAATGCTGAACAAGATCAAGATCCTTCAATTCTCTGCGAAGCAGGGGCTACGCGGGTCTTAAAAGGATTCCCATTTAAGGCCGTTCTCAATGTACCCTATCTTGGAAGGATCAAAAAGCCCTTTGATTCTCTCTATGGACTTTACATCTGCATGCTCTAGCTGGAATTAGACTCCTTGATGGATCTGGTGAACTCCCCATTACCTCAAACATGAGGAGCACCCCTGATGGTAAACTTTTAGGTAAAGCAATGAAAAAAACTTGAAATTTAACAGTAAAGAGATATGGACTTCTTCTACTTTTCAGCCACAGGGGCATGAACAAGAAGTTCTCCTTGTAGTAGACTGACTGTACAACTCAATCATTGCAAGCTCTTCCGTGGAGCCATGTTCTTCTTCACCACTTTCATCTTTATATGCTCTTCTCCTTTCAACACAACAAGTTTGCAAGGCTCTTTGACTGCAGATCACTTTAAGATAAACTAGTGCACAGTAAAAACTGGTGAACATATAAGATTTGTACAGAAAAAACTGGTGCAAAGCACTTTGATTGCTGATCATTGGTACAGTAGCCACAAGAAAGAAACTCAAAAAAATAGACCATATATAACTAAGATCATTACAGTAAAGACTTTTAAGATTTTTACAGCACTTGATTACATATTGGCCCTGTAATTACTCTTGTTACATTTGGAAAAATATGGAAGATTTTGTGCTGTATACAAAGGTGAGAACTCCCTGAGTTCTCAAGCAATAAGAACAAAACAAAATTCTTCGTGTTCTGCACTTCTTTGTCTCCTTCTTGCACTAAATTTTCATAGATTAGAGCATGCCTTAGACTGATATCCGTGGAGGATCTAACTAAAATTCGAATGATATTAGTAATTCATCAGAGAAATAAAAAGAAATTCAAACAAACCACAATTAAGCATTAACTAAAATAACTAAACAATTTAATTAGAAGCAAATATTCTTGAAAAGCAATTTACAAGTTATTGAAAACTTAGAAGAGTTTTGTCTTCGACTAATTAGAAACAAAAAGAGAAAGCTCTAGTTAACTCCTCAAGTCGGCAACTCGAACCGACAAATAGGGCAGCAATGGCTTTGCTTTAACCACTTTTGAATGCAGTTCTCATGAAAAGTATGAGAACAAGGCATCTGAGAAGCATCTGATCCAACCTCAAGTTCCTCCAAACATATCACGCAACCTTCTACACCTTCGGCTCTAACTCTCTTCAGCATCTCCTTAACCGACGACTCCTTCGCCGAAAGCATGCCATAGCTACTCGTTTCATACTGCGATTCCGATTCCTCCAAAGCTCTTGAGATCGAACCCGTCTCGCTGAAATTCACATGTTCCACAAAATTTCCCCATAGGTCTGCATGTAATGGCAAGACTATACGTCCCATGCTGGACGTACAGTTTGAGAGTTCAAGTCCATATCGGATAAGTTTACGAAGGACAACGTTAAACACAAGAGAGCAAGAGCTGAGTCCTAGTCCTATTAGCATGGACCCAAGAATTTCAGTAACCCTGTAGCGGTCTTTCACAATGTGGAGGTCGAAACGACGGGTTTCTTGGGAGAAGATTAAAGGTTGAGCGTCGCGAGTTAAGTGGTTGATTGAGCAATAATGGCGGATGATATTGACTTCAAGGGTGACGGTCACTTCTAGTTGAACAAAAAGGGGAGCTGGGTAATGGGGTTCTGGTACAATATTCGCGGGTTGGAAAACGTGGAAGTGTAAACCTTGGTACTCGTAACGGGAAGCCATTAGAGAAGTTTTTGAAAAGAAACAATCTGATAGGAAACCACAGCAAGAGTTGAGTTTATATTGGGGCCATGGCTGCAACTCTGGAATCCTATTAGGAGTAGTAAAGTATTTCCAATATTTTTTAATAAATATTAGTAATTTTTACGTATAATTTATTATTGTTACTGCTCATTTAAAGATTAAATTAAAATACATGCAGCAAAACACAAATCATGCAACCTTCTCAAGTATATTTCCTATCTTGCAGGCTGGGGATATAGGGATTTCATGCTGTGGCCTTGCATGTTGACTTGTGGTTTTAATGCTTGTGTAGTTTCTTTGGATGTTTAATAAAATCCTCACTTTGATTGAGAGAATTTTTTTTGTTCATAGGATATATATAGTTCCATGCATAATATCATTTTGAATTTCTTTTGAGCTACAGAATAATGATTTTTTTTCCTTTTATAAAATATCAGTGAATATTCAAAATTAACCTATATCAACAAATATTGTGAGAGTTTGAAAGATTTAAAACTACTATTATTATCAACACCAAATTAACTTAACCCGATTTTGATAAAAAGCAAAAATAAATTAAATAATGTAAGAGAGACCTCATTATTAAGTTAAAATCTCAAATTTTTTTATTACAACAGGATTTTTTGTCATTTGATATTTGTAAGTTCAGAATTTTTGTTATTGGGCAAACTATTACTGCTAGTAGTAGAGAAGCAGGATTTTAGGTAAATGCTGTTAATTACTTTTTGAGCCACTGGTTTGTTTTGTAATTTGAAAGGAGATTGATTCTAAGTCTACTTTTTATGAGAGGAAAATTATACACTAATTAGTAAGTCAAATACTCAGATGCTGCAAGTCATACTTTAATAATTCAAAATAAATTTCTAAAAGTAATATCATAGTAAATATAGTTATCCAACATCACTAGTGATAGCTAATAGATATGGTCTGACCACATTTTTAACTGGAATTTTTGTTAATACATATGAGGAAGTCCAAAAAAAGAAAAAGGGAAAATTGAAATTTTGAATCTTATTTTAAAGGATAACCATCCCTAGATCAAATCCTAACAATTACTTGAAGAAAAATTATCACCAATTCAGACACTATTCTACAATGAGATGGGTTAAGTACTCTTTTGCAATATTTCTCTAGTATTGTAAAATTTTGGTTAATCTTTTTCTGTAAAGAATAGAGTTTCCCTCATTGGAAGTGGATCTGGATGCTTTCATAAATTGACTAAAGACGGGGGAAGTTAAGAAGAAGTGTAGCTATTGGATCTTAAATATAGAGCAAAATGTGCAGCAGACTGCATACAGCTTCCTCAGAACCTTGATGCTGCGATAATTGGTATTAGTCGCCACCTTAATTCCCTTGTTCCAATTTCTTGCTTGTTTAACTACGAACTTAATTACTCTCTTCGAGGCATGTTATTACTTCCCTTAGATCTAGCAAGACTGCTATATAGCTGATCAGTATAAGCTATCCTGAAATCCACTGGGAAAAATTACTTACATAACCTTACTACTGAATACTGTTGAACTACTATGAAATATGAAATGTAATCAATAAATAGGTAGGAATCTATTGGGAAAGGATCACTAGCAAGCACTGTTATTAAAGAGGGGGATCACTTGGAGAAGGTCACGGTGTATGCGTGGTCATCATTTTTGTGTGTGAAACTGTCTTGTTGATGCTGGAACTTAATTAATTTGATATAAGGACTTTTGTTAATTTGGGGTTCCTTAGAGCTATGGCTGGAATTGGGAGACTATGTTCTGAATTGGGGCATATTCCTGAGCCTGTTTCTGCTATTTAGTTTGCCTAGATGTGCTTCTGTTACTGAAGGATGAATGATGAGTAAGTGGCCGCAGGGTAATGTGTTTGGTGAAAAGTGCAGCACTGAGCACTCGGAGGTGGTTTTGGTCGACGGATTTGGCTAAATAGGGTGGTGAACTTGACAAAA